ATGTCAGCAGCGCACTCTGTGACGGCGCTTGACACACTCGTTCATGGGATTGAGTTAGCAGCTTGATGGCCATTAATAGGTTCTATATTCACTCCCAAAAGTTGGAAGTGTTGGAATAGATGTCCAACACTCGGTTATTGTAGATCACTGATCTATAATAGCTCCGTCTGAATACATGGAGCTTGCCTCAGGTGACAAAGCCGAACTGACTGAGATAAATAGCTTGGATGCGTTGATAGAGGTTTTTAAGAGCTTATCAAGGCACGAAAAGGTAGGTTCACTCTATACTACTCATCCTTGTCTTTCGGTGCTGCTCTCAGTTCCTCTATGAGTCCATTTATACACAATGGTCGAGGTTCCTTCCATCCTGGAAATCAAACCAGGGACTCTCTGTTGGTGTCGATCTAGTCAGAATGATGCTTCTGGAAGAGAATGGCGGCGGCGATGTATTCAATAGTGCTGATAGGTAACCCTTGGTCGGTTAGTATTCCTCTTTTTATCTCGGTGAGCCCTGACTGCGAGCTCCTTTGTTACGAGCACCGTAGCTCTTTAAGCTCTTCCATTCTACTACCTGACCCTCCACATATGCTCCGTTCGTTGATCAGTGTCTGTTAATCCTCTCTCATGATTATCATCATTATGTTTCAGAGGGTTGGTCTACGTGCAGATGGGGAGTATGTACTTGCGAGATCCTTCTACTGCATCATCTCCTCTATGAGTTTATGCCCCGCTAGGTTCTTAGCCAACATGACAGTCTTGAATAATGCCATAGCCCAAGACCCATCCAATTATATCATCCTAGGTACTATCCGTGCAGGGCTGTGTGACTTGGTACCTACGATGGCACTCCCTGCCGTCACTTAGGCTCTTACATACTCGACCAATAAACATAGAAGAATAGCATGTGCTTCGGTAGTTGGGGGTTATGAAGGCTTATACCTGGGTCTTGTTATCCATCATTTGCAGGCGTAGCTTATTGCCCATTCTTCACTTAGCTAGCGATTGGTTGCTGCAGGTATTTGGCGGTAATTGACAGGTTACTGGGTTTGTTCTACCAATCCGTTATACCCTTCCCTTTTGCAACTTTCAAAGAGATCGATTTGAACGATTCAGAGAGGGGGTAGTTTGCTTTACCGGGTGAGTGAGGGTGTAGTCTGCTTTACCGGGTGAGTGAGGGTGCAGTCTGCTTTACCGGGTGAGTGAGGGTGTAGTCTGCTTTACCGGGTGAGTGAGGGTGTAGTCCTAAGCTAGCACGAGCATCATCGAATATCAGGTTGCTTTCGGCCCCTGTCCGAGTGGCAGAGACAGTTAACATCCTTTTGTGGAGGTGATCGATAGGTCATGTCACTGTCGGATGGGCAGTAATGAATTCCATATGAGGGAGTGTGCTGTATAGTGTGCTGTATAGTGTGCTAATATAGCTGCATTATGTTAGACTGTTACTATGATAGGCTGTGCGATGGTACAGATTCCATACCTTTACATGCACTATGTTTCATCTTATTGAACTCCCCGTTCTTTGTTCTGGCTCCTCATACTAATTCACCTGTAATCGTCTCTAGGGGGAGGGGCTTACCAGAAGTATTGCAGTTTTGAATCTATTCAATTATTTGTCTTATGGGTAACAAGCAAAGCCGAGATAATGCAGGATCGAGTAATGGGAGCGGTAAAGAGGCACCTCCGTCATCCACGCCTTCCAAAACGTCTTCGGCGGCTACTAGGCAATTACGGAAGATTCTCCCTTCTAAGAAGCACAACGAATCTCTGCAAAAGCAAATGAGTGAGTATAGAGCGATGACCCTTTGGTAATGAGTGACCCCTCAGGTAAGCCCATGATGTCTGTGAATGTACATGGTTTCCTCACGTTTGATGAGAAGGGTGAAGGTACCGTACTATGGAGGATATGTTCTTACACTGAGTATGATGTCTTCAGCTACGGACGAACGAGTGATTACTATTGAATTCCCCAAGCCTGCTGCTGATCTTTCCTGTGGATGGTTGGTGGACCAAGCCCAACAGCAGTTCCGGGAATTGGGTGCACCTGGTCATCTTGTTGGGCTCAAGGAGTTTGGAGATAAGGCCGATCAGGAAGCCAAGGTAGGGAGGACGTAATGATGATGATGCAGTCGTAGTATTACAATAGTATTGTGTAGGATACATGGCTGATGGACTTTAGACGACCACTTACTTGCTTGAGACCGAACGAGGATCTAGAGGCTATCTTTAGTGTAGAGGTAATACTGGAAGATCAACGTCGTGAGTCGGCTATTCGATGATCCTACAGGGATGTTTTATCAGGACCTAGGAGCCTCTTCCTACGTTTCGAAGGCTACTCTAGCAGATTTTGAGTTCCTCAAGGTTATTGGCGATGGAGCAAGTTGTTCTGTGATCTTGGTACGGATCATTCGAGTGCTGTCTTTCATTCTTTGTCCAAGGTTCGTCGTCGGGATAACGGTAAATTATATGCCGTGAAGATGATGACTAAAGAGAGGATTCTTTCCAATAATAAGAGGATGGAGCGTGCCATGATGGAGCGTAAAGTATTGGCTAAGGCTAGGCATCCCTTTATAGTTACTATGTATTGGGTAATATTCAATACCATTCTTACATATTATCCTTATCTAGTCTATTACTTCAGGCTTTCCAAACACGTTCTCATCTATACTTCGTCCTCGAGTTCTGTGCTGGAGGAGAGCTATTCTATCACATGATGCAGCGAGGCCATTTTGATGAGTCAACTGCCAAGTGATGCAATAATTCGATCAGTCAAAAGAATCCAGAGGTCAATTAGGT